CTAATCTTACCAATGGCTGGCCCCGCCCCCACCTGTTTTTTGGCCATTTTTAAGCCATTTTTCGGCCTGTTTTTTTGGGGGGGTCGTTTGGGATGTTCAGTAGTAGTAAATAAATAGAGGGAAATTGTATCTTGTTGAAGCCTTTGGGGCAAGTGGCCGGGAGGTGGGGCTGGGTGTGATGAGTGATGTTGAGTTGGCCATGCCCACCCAGTCACATGACCAACACAGCCATGCCTACCCAGCCAGTCATTAGCACAGAGAGCCAGTTGTTAAATTATTTTAATCCCACCGCTGAACACAATCTAGAAAACCAATCGTGTGACACGAATCCCAAAAGGTGCTTTTTCAGGAGGCCACTGGACTTTCTGGTTTTTTCATTTGAAGACGTTTCGCTTCTCATCCAAGAAGCTTCTTCAGCTCTGACTGGATGGTGGGGGATGGAAGGATGTATACTCCTTGCAGACAGCACCTTCGGGACAACCATGACCTGGACGACTGAGAATCTCGTCAGACGTGTAACACAAATGTCCATCAGATTGCAACATCCCATGGACACGATATCACCTTTTGAGACCTTCTGACAAGCAAATTTAAGGGGGAAGCTGGATTCACTTAACAGCCATGTTACAAGGAGTCCTCGGCTTACAACAGTCTGTATAGTGACCTGTTCTGACCCCCCTCCTCCGTCCAGTAATGAATGCCGAGACAAGCTAAGCTGGACACAGCACTTTATTAGCAGGAAACATAAAACTCGGTGGCTGAAAGCCCAAGCAGACAAATAGATAAGAACCTTGGCAACAACTCAGACTTCGACAGATACAGATAACAGCTTCTCCAGCGTTAAGAAATAAGGTGAATCCTGCACCCAGCCTCCTGACAAAGTCTCTCCTTAAATACAATCTTGAGAGGAGCCTAATTACAATCACCTGGGTCCAATTACCTTTTGTATCTGCCTAGCTGTTCTCTACGTCAATCTGCCCGGCATTGCCGGGCATCCAGGACCACCTCCCTTGTCTCCTCATCACTGCTCCAAGGCCTGACGTCAGGAGCACACTCCCTTTGGCTTTCACTGCTGCTCCATGCCTCAGGCGCCTCCTGGTGGCCAACCAGCCTCTCTGAGCCCTGTTTGGAGTCGGAACCCTGTCCAGGGTCCTCCACCTCTTCCAGAGCCGACTCAGANTTTTCTTTTTTAAAAAAATAATTTGTGCTTCATTTTTATTAGATTTTCCCATTCTCCTGCATTGCTTTGTCTAAAAATGTTAACAAAACAAAATAGAGACCATGTTTGTCGAGTGACTTTGTTAACCAAGGATGAATTGGACTGAAATTCCAACACTGGAGGTTTTTAAGGAAAGACTGAACAATCGTTTGTCTGAAATAGTGTAGGTTTCCTGCCAGAGCAGGGGGCTAAATTAGAAGGTGTCAAGGTTACAGCTCTGTTATGTTGTTATTCTGAATTAAGCTATTTATTTTTATGGGATGGTTCAGATTGAAAGAAATGGTTTGTTTATTGAAGAAGTCCTGGTTCAGAAAGCTTGTACCACACAAATTTCAATTAACCAGGGGGAAGTGGATTCAGACAACCCAGAGTGACGTAGATTTAGTCCTAAATAGATCAGATTGTGCTGGGAGTCAGACAAATTCTTTCTGGACAGCTAACTTCATTCACTGACATTTGTGACTGAAATCAAGCCCTAGAGAGGTTTTGCTAAAACTTGGTTTTTCTAGACACTCCATCTCATTGTACATTTCATCCCATGCCCTATGAGGACAGGGGGCAAAATGGATAGAGATGTGAGAGTGGCTGCTTTTCCCCTAAACCTGTCCAAGGTTGTTCCAACTCTTATGGTGCCATCCCAGATTTGTTTTCCCCTTCAGAGGGAAAACTGTCGGAAATGGAAAGGGAGATTGCAGCTTCTTTGGCAGCTGCCAAATGAATGATCTGATCATCCAAGCCTCTTGTGGACAGGCCTGGCAGGTGGAAGTCTTGGTCCATAGCAAAGCCTCCAGTTGGGTCAGCCTTTTGAAGCATTTTACAATGCTTTGGACACATTGCACATCCTGTTCTTTGAATAGTGCCTGGGTGGGTACCTGCTGGAATTTCACTTTGCTCTCCTGCTGATCAGTAATATGAAGTATGATGAATCTGCCATGGTCACTGGAGATTTGAACTTGCATTCCCCTCCACAAGTTTCTGTTGCAGTTCCTTAAGTATTTTTATGAGTCTAATTAGGCTAGGCTAATTAACTAGGAGGGAGGCTGTGAAGGTGATAAGGAAATACCTTGTTACTCATTGATAATTGGTTCTGGGAGGCTTGGTTCCGGGAGGCGTAATGAATACCAAAAATAATAAGTACCAAACAAAATTTTCCCATAAGGAATAATGTAAGTCACAAGGCAGCTGACACGGACAAATTCTAGCTGGTACATTGAGTGCCAAACAAAGAGTTCGGGACAAAATTTTCACGTCAAAATGAGTACCAAATTGGGTGAGTTTCAAAGCAGTTAAGTGGCAAGATACCACTAAATATTTTGCATCCCTTTTTTCTACAAGTAATTTCCATGAGATTCCTTCCCCTCTTCCTAGCCCATACATTCTGTGATTTTGTAGCCCTCCAGATGTTGAAGTCAACTCCTTCGGTTTAACCCAGAGTTTCCTAATCTTTCTGGCTTTGCGGACTGGCGGGAGGGGGGGGGGGATGGCACAGGTGTAGTCCCACTTGCATGAGCACTAGGTATGCGGGTCCACTGCTCGAGCTTGCCTACCATTTCCACAGCCCAGTTCCAAATGGCTCAAGGCCCGATAGTGGACCACGACCCAAGGGTTGGGGACCCCTAGTCTAGCTAATGGGGAATTAATAGCTGGACATCATCTGGACAGTCATTTTCCCCTCACCTTTGTGAGCGTTCATGTTTCATTGGAAACATGCCAGAAGTAGGAAAGGAAAATGAAGCACGATATTCTGGAACTTAAAACAAGGAGTAAAATATAAATATGCCGGAATTATAATTAAGTTATATATATTATATATAATTAAACTGGGATTATCTTGGGAACCCTATTCTCTTTGTTGCCAACTGAAAACTCCCTCCACTAAATTTTCATTCTGATATTGCATATATATATATTTGCCTTAATTTTAAATAAAGTACAGTAGTGTATGCTAGGTGTTGGGTCATAGTAAACAGGTCGGTTTTATTCTTTTTTGTTGTGTTTAAGAATCAGGACAGAAAACTTTAAGATTTGAGATTTACTTCAGAATAAGTAGTATTCAACATCTCATCTCTGCTTTCTGTCAAGAGTTTCCTGCAAAAGGAAAGCAGGTACTCCCAGGAAGTACTCCCCCCATTGGCACCCCAAAATTATAACATCTTCTGCACTCTAATCTGCTACTACTGGGAGATCATCTTGAGAACCAATTTTGTTGTATTTAAGTACAATGACAATAAAGATTACACTTAGAATCGCCCAATGATTCTATGCAGAATCAGACTTCAGAAAAGGTGTGGACTCTTCTTGGAGTCTGAAGTAAGTATTTTTTCCCCACAAAGCTGAACTAAATAAAGATAGAACATCACAGATGCTGCAACTTGTAGTAAAGCTTGAGGAAATGCTTAATAAACGATACATAGTAAACAGTATTTCCACTCAATGGAAGAAAAAGATAATTATTGGGGAAACACCATCATCCCTGGTTTATCTACAGTGGTATTTGATAGCAGGCCAGAGAAGATCCTCTGACCTGGATACTGCTGACCTCAACTAATGATTAAGAGCCGAGGTGGCGCAGTAGTTAGAGTGCAGTACTGCAGGCTACTTCAACTGACTGCTAGCTGCAAAACGGCAGTTCAAATCTCACCGGCTTAAGGTTGACTCAGCCTTCCATCCTTCTGAGGCATATTATTGCTATTGTGCAGTGGCTAGAATCCAGTATTGCAGGCTAATTCTGCCCATAGCCAGGAGTTTGATCCTGATCGGCTCAAGGTTGACTCATCCTTCCATCCTTCAAAGGTTGATAAAATGTGAACCTAGATTGTTGGGGTCAATATGCTGACATTTGTAAACCACCCAGAGAATGTTGTAAAAGCACTATAGGGTGGTATATAAGTCTTAAGTGCTATCGCTATCGCTAATACATGTTTAATTAGCATCTCTGCACCCTGGTGGCTATCCTGGCTAGAAGTTGTCAGTTGTAGCCCCAGCTGTCTGGATAGTATCAGACAACAAAAAACAGTATAGGTAGCCTTTTTTTCAAGACTGGATTCCATGCTTTATTCTAAGCATACATTTAGGAATCTATGTATCAGGTTTCCCAGTAGCAGGCTCACAGCAATCATAACTCTTGAGGCCTAAAATTTCCTCAAAGTGTAAATTTATTAGGAATATCAAATTGGCACAGCTGGTGAAGATCCAACTCTGAAGGACCGGGAGTTTTCCCCACCCAAATCAAAACCCCATATTCTTGCCCCCAGGTCACAAGTCCATCCCATAGTTCCATCAGGTCAGAGTCTCAGCTCCGGCTGGCTCTTGTTCACACCCTTCCAACACCTGGTATAGTGTCCTTGGCTCCCACAGGGAAGAATGTTATTTTGACTACACTTCCCCCTCAGCTTTCTCTTATCTCCCCCCCCCCCAACATCCCCACAGCTTCAACATGCCTGGCTGTGGCGGCCCTGAAGATGCTCCCAAAATAGCTTCAGGGCTGATGCTGTGATCATTTTTGTTAGTAATAGGCCCCTGCGGTCTAATATAGATCAGGCTGCAATATATGTGGATCCCCCTCCTGCCTCACTGGAAATCAGTATTTTGACCCTTGCTGGAAAAGATCCTGGCGGGGAACCACTCTTGCGTTCTGGATTCGTTCTGATTTCGTTCACTAGACATTGGTGTAAATAAAACCCACAATAAGAAACCCACAAATGTCCCTTTCCTAAGAAGAGATCTCGTTCTTCTTGAACGCTGCTGCATTTCAGTCAAACAAACAAACCCGGCTCCCAACTTTTTCCGAAGATGCATTTATTAAAAGTGTTTAAAGAAGAACCAATATTTTGAAACAAGAATTATCTTTTTCACTGACACTGACTCCACTGAAACTGAAATTGGCTGCCTCCAAATTCGGTCACAGCCAAATGTTTGGAGATTGCTGGTTGTCCTATATAAAATGCATCAAATTCTCCCGTGCTGGGACATGCTTCCTCTTTCCCTCCTGCCACTTTTTCCTAGCCTCATTGACATCCTTCCCAAATTCCACATGGAGGCAAGCGAAATCCATGTCGGAGAATCTTCTTTCTGTTGCCTTGCAGCTTGCTTCTTCCTTAGAGTACTGTTGGCTCTTCAACTGGTGAAATTGGCTTTCTAACTCGGTAACCAACGCTCTGAGGTTCTCGAATCCCGCCATGCTCAGAACTCGCATCCAGTTTTCCATGGTCTCTTGATCCTCAGCTGCCATCTTATAGGACTGGTCAGGCAAGTCATCGGGGTAGCAGATTTTAAAAGTATGAGGTTCCGAGGTGGATTCCTGCAATTCCACCCTACAGCCTTCTAACACAATGAGGTGACAAGGACCCCGGTCTCCAGGCTGTTCCCTGCAGATAAGAAGATTTCCTCTGAGCTCACACCAGCAGTGCTGATAGGAAGCGGTGCGGTTATTTTTCTTGAAAAGGACGCCCTGCCAGTCCGGGGGCTGTTCCAGGCGGGAAGAGGTAAGGATGCTGGCAATGTGGAGTTTGGTGGCCGACTGGCTCTGAAACTGGAGAAAGAATCATAGAAAGGGATGAGGGAGCATACAGACAAATAACAAGGAAAATGAAGAAGCTAAAAGAGGAACTGAGCTGAGCACTTTTCCTTAAGCCAGGCTTCCACATGTGTGGAATTATATTTCCCCCAGCAACCTGAGCAAGTTATAGTTCATTAGCAAAAGATGTTTAACTCATTAAAGAGCTGTAGTGGTGCAATGGTTAGAATACAGTGTTGCAGGCTAATTCTGACGACCACCAGCAATCCGATTCTCACTGGCTCAAGGTTGACTCAGCTTTCCATCCTTCTGAGGTCAGTAAAACAAGGACTGAAATTCTGGGAGGACTATGCTGACTCTGTAAACTACTTAGAGAGGGCTGTAAAGCACAGTGAAGTAGTATACTTTAAGAAATGGTAGAAAGCCATTCAAAACTGTCTAGTGCAGGCCTGTGAAATTGGCAGCCCGCAGGCTGGATGCATCATGCACAGGCCATGCCTAGCCCAGCTCCGCAAAGGCAAAAAACGTTTGCGATACCTCACGTGATGCGATTGAGTTTGACACCCATGGTCTAGGGGTTTCGAGGCACTAAAGAGAAGTTCCTCCTCTTTGACCATGATGGTGGTGATCATGGCCATGTTCTGCCCCGATCTTCCTCGCAGTTGGAGTTGTGACTCCAAGAGCACTAATACTTTTAGTGCCTCGTGACCTACTATACACAAGGGGACAGAGGGATGTAGCTACTAGAGCATTATGCATTTACTCCATAAACCCTCTTTGTCCATCACCCCAATCTCAAGAATGCTCGTGGGAATACTTCAACCTCCAACACTGAGGTAGCCAACAGCTAACCTAATTTTGACCACAGAGAGAAGAAAAAATTTACCATTTTTTTCTGTTGCTTGGTTTAGAAGGAGAAAATGGCAGAATTCTTGTCGATTTCACCTAGCGCAGGGGAAAAAAAACATGCAAGTCAAGTTTTCAAGACATTTTAGTCTTTCAACAGTGTTTTTCTTTTTAACTTTGAAAAATCAAGTGCTCTATTTTTTTGATGAAGTTATTCTGTCTTTCTTTTTTAAAGGAAAAACAGTGAAAGGAAGGGAGAGCAGAGGTGGTATTCAGCAGGTTCTGACCAGTTCTGGAGAACTGGTAGCGGAAATTTTGAGTAGTTGGGGGAACTGGTAAATACCACCCCTGACTAGCCCCGCCAGCTGATCGGGTGGGAATGGGGATTTTGCAGTATCCTTCCTCTGCCATGCCCACCAAACCAAGCCACATACACAGAACTGGTAGTAAACATTTTTGAATCTCACCACTGGGGGAGAGCCATGTTTTTGGGCCACATGCCTCTCCCCTCCTCTTGTCAGTAGGTAGGTTGGAGAGGTGTTTGCTTACCTTGAAAGGAAAGGCAGCAGATGAACCAGGTATTACTGCTAGCGCTACCAGACAACACTACGGTACTTTTGATACTTAATAGAAAAAGAGGGAGAGAGGGACCTTTCTGGTGAGCGGGGGCAGGAGGCAGAGCAAGGACAACATAATGTCATCAACAAAGAGGATTAGGGGACTGGAGGCTAAAACATATGAAGAATGATTGCAGGAACTAGGTATGTCTGGTTTAATGAAAAGAAGGACTAGGGGAGACATGATAGCAGTGCTCCAATATCTCAGGGGTTGCCACAAAGAAGAGGGAATCAAACTATTCTCCAAGGCACCTGAGGGTCGAACAAGAATCAAGGAGAGAAGCAACTTAGAACTGAGGAGAAATTTCCTGACAGTTAAAACAATTAATCAGTGGAACAGAAATTGCCTCCAGAAGTTGTGAATGCCCCAACACTGGAAGTCTTTAAGAAGATGTTGGATAGCCATTTGTCTGAAACGGTATAGGGTTTCCTGCCTAGGCAGGGGGTTGGACTAGACCTCCAAGGTCTCTTCCAACTCTGCTATTGCATTGTATTGTAATGTAATTAAACCACAATTTACTTGGGTTTGGCTGAGGTATGACTTCCCTGGACTCTCAGTTTGATGTAGGGTTAGGACATCAAGCTAGAAAGTAGCAGACCATGAGTTCTAGTCCTGATTTTGCCACAAAGTCAATTGATGATAGTGGACCAGTCACGTTCAGCCTTGGGAACAAGGCAATGGCAAAACACTTCCAAAAACCCTTGCCAAGAAAATTGCCAGGACGTATCCCATGAATCACCAGAGTCCAAAACTGATTTGAAGGCATCAAAAATTGCCAACTTCAGCACCGTGGCTTGGAACCTGTCAAACAGCCCTATGTTTTATTGACTGCTGTATAGCAAAGGTAAGCTGAATGGGTGGCAGCACATGAGCACTAACAGGCAGCCAATGATCCGAATCTACAATAATCTCAGAGAGAAATTAAAGAGCAGATAAGAATCGGAAAGTTTTGTTTGAAAATAAAGACCCAGGCTCAGAGCCATGGAAAGATAATGGAAATAAACAGCATCTTCCTTCTGATGGAGGCCTGAATCTAACCTTGACATCTTTAAAAGGTGTGGATGTCAACTAGAATTCTGGGAGTTGAAGTCCACACTTCTTAAAATTTCCAAGGAAGAAAACTATTGTATTAGGAAATGGGGAAAAAAAATAAGGGAAGCAAGCAGAATGTTTTACTTCAGGAATCTGTGTGTCCCAGATTAGGTATACTTCTAGGCAAAACTAACATTTTAAGTTTTATCATGTCTGAAATGTATTCTTTCTCTGCAAGCTCAGTATTTATATATTTATTTATTTTGCAATTTTATAAGCAGCTACTACTTCTACACTGGATCCAGACCAATGGCTCTGCTCATATTTTCCTTTGTATTTTTCTAAAGTCGCCTGGAAATTGTGTAACTTTATATTTTCCCCTGTTTTTGCCAGTGAATGGCATGGGAGAACTTAAAGCTAAAAATTGTCTTCCTCAAGTTCCATTTAAATTATCTCCAGAGTAGGATCTCCAACCTTGACAACTTTATGACTTGTGGACTCTTAAGTCCCAGAATTCCTCAGCCAGCCCATGTTGGCTGAGGAATTCTGGGAGTTGAAGTCCACAAACTCATGTTGGCTGAGGAATTCTGGGAGTCGAAGTCCGCAAGCCCATGCTGGCTGAGGAATTCTGGGAGTTGAAGTCTACAAGTCGTAAAGGTGCCAGGGTTGGAGACCACTGCTCTAGAAGGACTGTCTAAAGGGAAGAGGAAAGTAACATGCCAGTAAAGGCCCAGAATTAAAGGCCCAGGATTTGGGATTCCAGTTTTTTTTTTCTTTTAAATTGCCAGTCGAGCAACATACTTGTGAGAATCCTCCACCCCACATATGCTGGAGATGGATGCCCCTTTGAAAACACTTGGTGTTGGCAGGGACTACCAAGCCTATGCACCAAGACATGAGACAGAGGTAATCCTCAACTTACAACAGTTCATTTAGTGACTGTTCAACGTCACAATAGCACTGAAAAAAGTGATGTGATCATTTTTCATATTTTATGACCATTGCAGTGTCCCCTTGGACACGCAATCAAAATGTGACGCTTGGCAGCTGGCTCATATTTCTGACAGTTGCAGTGTCCCAAGGTCATATGATCTCATTTTATGACCTTCTGACAAGCAAAGTCAATGGGGAAGCCAGAATACCTTAACAACCGAGTTACTAACTTAACAACTGTGGCAAGAAAGGCCATCAAATGCGTCAAAATGCACTTAACAAATGTTCCACTGTGCAACGGAAATTTTGGGCTCAATTGTGGTCGTAAGTCAAGGACTATCTGTATGGACTGAGAAGGCTTCTAATTTCAAACTTCAGCCTTTCATCCTAAAGGCTCAGTCAGCAGAGGTGGTATACAGTGGTTTGGATCGGTTCGCACAAACCAGTAGTGGAAATCGTGGGTCCAACCACCCGCCTCAGCTCTATGCTGTCCTATTTAGACACTTTTTAGGCCGGGTGCATGTGCAAAAGGCGCACCTGTGAGCAAAGCACATGCACAGAAGGCTGGGCACATGCGCAGAAGATGCACGTGAGCCCACCTCATGCGCATGAAGCATGCCGGCATGTGCTTGGTGAACCAGTGATAACTAAATGTGTATAACCCACTGCTGTCAATCAGGCCATTACATGGAATTTAATGCATTCAGTTGGAAAGGACTACGGACCTTTAAAGAAGAAATGGGATGTAAAAGTAAACACAAAATTGAAAATTGTGGACAATGGAAGGAAAAATACAGTGGGAAAAAAGAGAGAAATGATCTGAACGAGGAAGTACATGAATCATTTCACAAAAGAGTGGTGAAGAAATACAGGGGAATGAAAAGAGACACTGGGAAGTGGAAAGCCTGATGCAAAAGAAATTTAAAATCTATGCTGAAGTAGTACAAAAAAAATGTCGTTAAAAAAAAAAGTCTAAGCTTTTGAGCACGAAAGGAAAGTGGATTGCAAAGAAAGGGAAAGAGGCCAATTTTGTAATGTTATGTCTCCTGGGTCATATTGCTTAATGAAACGACAGGCTGCCTTCAGACATGCCCAAATGGAGTCTCAAAACAGTGGTGCAAGATTCTGAGTTTTCAAAAGAGGCTAGATAGGGCATTTTCAGGGATATTTGAAGTAAATTAATCACAAGATCCAGATAGGGTTAATGAGAGAAAAGTATGACATGCAAGCACTTGCTGAATGTATTCAGTCCTTACCTTTGGTGCCAAATTCATCAGGTTTTCCCCCTTAGATTTTTCACTAGGACAGTTTTGCTTTGCTTTCGATGCAAAAGCAGTAATTTCCTAGATGAAGAGGGTGGGGCTAATGCTCACCTATGTCCTCTCTGCAAGTGCCATTAAAAGTCATTTGATCTCTGAGTGCAGAGAGGCAGAGATAAGAGCAGGAAATGACTTTGATCATGGTTTCTTGTTTTCTTCATCCACACCTACCCACAAGTGAGTTTGAAGAACAAATGGCTAGAAAAAAGGAAGTTAACTTGACCACAAACTAGAGTTCTCACTGGTCCTAAAGAGAAACAGTTTTAGGAGGGAAATAAATTGAATATAACACAAATTGTTCTGCAAAATAGAATCAAACACCTGAGGTACTAATGGTTTTTATAGCATTCTGTTTAAACATTTGGATCTATTGAATTTTGCATGGGTGAACTTTATATTTGTTTCTAATGTTTTTTTTCTTTAAAAAACTTTCTGTTTTCCTTTTTATTATTCATACTGTAAGCTACTCTGAGATGGCATCATGAAATGGTGAAGTATAGAATGACTAAAATCCTAATCAGAAAAACAATTCTGGAAATTAACTTTTCTGCTTGCTTCTACAGAGCAGGTAGTTCAGCTTCAGAGTTACTGCAAGATAGATGGAGTTTAACTGGTAGGTGCGGTAGTCCTCATTTAGCGACTGCCTCGACCATTTGCAATTATGGCAGTGAAGAAAAAGTATTTTACAATCCTCGTATTTACAACCTTTGCATATGTGCAAAGCAAAGGAAAGCTGAAGCATAGTTGCAATTTTACTTAGTAACCAGTTTGTTTAACAACCAAGTTGTTGGTTCCATTTATGGTCGCTAAAAAAGAAATGGGGGGGGGGGCACGATGGCTCAGTGGTTAAAGATGCTGAGCTTATCAGCTGGAAAGCTTAGTGTCAGCCCTGGAGCCATCTTTAACTTGGAATCTTCAGGGCTGCCACAGCGGTGGATCAGGAGTGGGGTGGGGTGGGGTGGAGACAGTATGGGATGTATAGCCATAACAACATATTTTCCCTTGGAAGTCAAGGATGTTCAGCCTGCACCTGGGGAGGCATGACTGGGAATCAACTATAATTGGGACAGTGACCTGATTGGACCATGTGGTGCCGATATGGATGTAGGGTGTTAGATACCAGAATCAGTTATAATGGTTTACACCAAGGTCCTCTGTTCCGGCGGGAACAGAGATTCAATCTGATTGGTTGAAGGGTCTGACAGCTCCCTATACAAGGGCTACTGTCAGACTGAACCTTCGCTGGATTGTACATAGTTGTTTCAGAGTTAATAAAGAGCTGTTGCTGCCTAAGCCTGAGTGTGCCTTTCCTTTACTCGATCTAACACTGGCGACGAGGGTGATATTGGAAGGCAACTAGGCAAATGAAAAGAGTACAACAATCCAGCAAGTAAATCCAGCTCGGAGCTTGACACGGCATCAAGCAGCCATCTTTGAGTGGCAAATTCAAATATGCTCAGGGACACAAGATGTCAATGTACATTCCACTGACTCTGTACAACCCAGTCACCGAGCACTGGAAATCCTACATGCTGAGGTTCGATTGCTTCCTTGAAGCCAACGACCTCATGGGCCTTTCTGAAAGCCAGAAAAAGAACATGTTCCTGAGCTACTGTGGACGAGAGGTGTTTGAGACAGCAAAGGACTTATCCGAGCCAACGCTGCTCCAATCAGTCACTTGGTCAGTGCTACAATAGAGCTGAGGTGGCGCAGTGGTTAGGGTGCAGTACTGCAGGCCACTTCAGCTGACTGTTATCTGCAGTTCAGCGGTTCTAATCTCACCGGCTCAAGGTTGACTCAGGCTTCCATCCTTCCAAGGTGGGTGAAATGAGGACCCAGACTGTGGGGGCAATATGCTGACTCTGTAAACCGCTTAGAGAGGGCTGAAAGCCCTATGAAGCGGTATATAAGTCTAACTGCTATTGCTACAACAGATGCTGAGGACACACTATGCTCCCAAACCGTCTAAACACGTCCGAAAACATGAATTCAACATTCATAACCAGAAAGAGGTTGAATCCATCAATGAATATGTTGTGGCACTTAGAAAAGCCGCAGCATACTGCGAGTTTAGAGATCTCGATGAACTGATACTTCACCGCATCATATGTGGTGTTCGAGACATTGGCCTGCAGAGGAGACTACTAGTGAAATCTAATCTGACACTCCAAATTGCCTTCATTGACTGCCTAAAGACTGGTCCTATCTCGTCTATTGACGTTGCCCGCCACTCTGCAAAAGACTCTACACTCAAACAGGCTTTGAACTGGGTGTGGAGGGGGTGGCCCAAGGGACCTGTTGAGTCTGAATTTAAAATGTTTTACTGCAAACGTGATGAATTGTCGGTAATAAATTGTTTACTGTGGGGAGGGGAGTGGGTTGTTGTTACACCCAAACTGCACATTGCAGTATTAGAGGTTTTGCACGTAGGGTATACTGGAATTGTCCGGATGAAGTCTTTGGCCAGGAGTTATGTGTGGTGGCCTAACATGGACAGGGAGATAGAAGAATGGGTGGCTACCTGCGCACCGTGCCAGGGTCCAGACCAGCTCCCCCAGAGGTGCCTGCTAAGGAGTGGGAGCGACTTCAAGCACCATGGTCTAAGGTATGCCTAGATTTCGGTGACCCAGTTCATGGCCAGACTTTCATGGTAGTTGTGGATGCCTACTCGAAATGGCTAGAAGTAGTCCTCATGACCTCTACCATGGCAGAAGCGGTCACCAAGGCACTACAGAGATTTTTCTCCACTTACGGCCTACCCGATGTCTTGGTCTCTGACAACAGCCCCCAATTTACGGCTATGCAGTTTGAGACCTACTTAGCAGCGTAGGGAATCAGACATGCCCTGGTCGCTCCATTCCATCCGGCCTCCAATGGTCAGGTGGAGAGAATGGTGAGATCTGCAAAAGAGGCCCTATACAGGATGGGCCCGGGAGATTGGCAAACATGGGTTGATCAATTCCTCCTCATACAGCACATCACGCCAAGTGCTACCACTGGGAGAAGTCCTTCCCAGCTTCTAATGGGTCACCTGCTAAGGTCCCACTTAGACCGGCTACACTCAAACTACTCTGCCGCATCGCCCCCAGATTCAACAAGCAAGGAACGTAAGGAACTTTAGCGAAGGGGATTCAGTTTACGCCCACAACTACGCTGGGGGAACTCTGTGGATTCCTGCCACAGTAATAGGCATCACCGGACCTTGCTCTTACCTAGTAGAGCTTGAGGATGGTCGGAATTGGAGACGGCACGTTGATCAACTCCGTGGCCGCCTCTCCAACTCCAATGTTAGGCAACCAGAGGTAACTCCACGAGTTAGTCAAAGCCCTACCCAAAAGGAGCACAAAGTCACTCTTTCCACAGCCAACTCAAGCCCGAAGGTACCAGGGCACTTATCTGTTAGTGTTTCAGGCCCGCAACGAGCTCCGAGCGAACCGGCTCTAGAAGCTCCAGCCGTGGCCTGTGAGAAATTCCAGGGGTTTCCACCAGGCAAAGCTGTGGAGACAACAGGTCCATCCGGCCTGACTTAAGAACACCCATCAACTGAACTGTGCAGGTCTGAGCGAGCCATCAGAAAGCCCACCTACCTACATGACTACGTCACAAATTGGTTGATCCCATCTAAGAGGGGACAGATGTTAGATACCAGAATCAGTTACAATGGTTTACACCAAGGACCTCTGTTCTGGTGGGAACAGAGATTCAATCTGATTGGTTGAAGGGTCTGACAGCTCCCTATAAAAGTGCTGCTGTCAGACTGAACCTTCGCTGGATTGTACATAGTTGTTTCAGTTAATAAAGAGCTGTTGCTGCCTAAGCCTGAGTGAGCCTTTCCTTTACCCGATCCAACACAGGGGAAGAGACTTTGACTTTACTTTGGGTGGGGAAAACCCGGGGGCTTCAGATTCAGGTTTTCCTAGATGTGCCAATATGACATCTCTAATAAATTCAAGCTTTGTGGAAAACACATACCCTGGAGGTTTGATTTCGTTGAGGGTGTTACTTGGAACCCTGACACCTAGGTTTGAGACCCGAGTGTTGCGTGATGGGTGAGCTCCCGCAACTTGCCTCAGCTCCTGCCAACCTAGTAATTCAAAAACATGCAAAAGCAAGTAAATATGGTTCACCGACAAAACCGTGCTCAACTAAACTGCATCGCTGATATCATCAACAGGGCGACAACAGCGCGGAGACAGAAGCACGCTGTAAACCCCAAACCTAAAATTAACCCCTAAACCTAACCCTAACCCTAACCCTTAACCTAACCCTAAACCTAACCCTAACCCTTAACCTAACCCTAACCCTTAACCTAACCCTAAACCTAACCCTAACCCTTACCTTAAGTTGAATCGGCTTGCTTTCAAAGCGCTATTTAAAGCGCTCTTCTTTCTCCGCGCTGGCTGTTGTCGTCCTGTTGATGATGGTTTAGTCGGGCGCGGTTTAGTCGAGCGCGGTTTTGACGGGTCACGAGTAAATATATGTACTACTTTGGTGGGAAAGTAAGTGGTCTGTATGTCTCAGCAAACAGTCATGGTGGCCATATGACCAAGAAAGCATCTTTGGACAATGTTGGCTTCCCTTAGCTAAGAAATAGAGATGAGCACCACCTCCTGGAGTCAGACATGACTAGGCAGGTGAAACCTTTACCTTCTAAACAATAAATAAATCTGACAAATTTTCAATAGTTTAATTTGCATATGTTTTGGTAAATTTCCTCAACCCAGTGTCCTGATGTGTTTGATGTAAATTCTAAAACCTTTATACTGCTTGAGAATTTGTATGTTGTATATGCATGACATCCAACCAAATGGGTGAACTTAATCTATCTGATTATTATAATATGTGAAAACTGGACTAAGTAAATTATGTATAAATTATCCATGAGAGTGCAAAAACTATTAATACGACAGAATTTGTTTCTGTATATCATTACTCATTCATCTGTGGGGTACCAAATTCCAGTAAGCTGCGTTAGGGGGAATAGCTGGAGAATCCTGGCCTTTGTCTCATTTTCAAAAGTTCAACATCAAGTATAGAGAAAAGGCAATTACCACATATCTCACTATAAGGAAGAATAATGAAACCTGTGACTTGTAAGATGATATAGTATTGGATTTAATGCCCATCAATCCATCAGCCAAGTAGTAGTCACAATAATGTAAAACAATATTTTTCAAATTCAGCAATTTTAAGATGCGTGGATTCAACTCCCAGAATTCCACACATTTTAAAAGTTGCCAAGTTTGAAAAACATAGATGTAGATCCACAGGCACTGAATTAAAATAAGGAAGGGCAACAATTATTGACGGAAGAAAGCAAATGCATTCTATTTTTGCATAAGAACATAGAATGAGTTCTACCACAATAAGACCTGCTGAATATCCCCAGCAATATTTTTTTTGATCCAAACTAGACTCTTGGGCTGAATGTCCTTTGTTCCATGGCACCCAGGTCACAGAGGAATAAGAACTGAACAATAACCTAAAAGTGAGTCTAAACTTTGCTTAAACACAGCAACTGGTTTGTGCCCAATTAAAGTTTTTTGTGCACCCCCCATTGTATAAGGATCTCTGCATGCTGGTGGAACTGATAGAACACTGGAGGATAAACTACCTTGGCTGATCTCAAAAAACAAAGTATGAACAAATGGTTAATATTTGAGTGGAATCAATCAGGAAACTTGAAAACAATATAATGGAAAGGCAAAAAAAGCCCCCCCTCCCCAATTAATTTCCTTATTGTTGCCACACACAAAAACCTTATCAAATTGCCAGGAGCCAAGGTTGAATCAAGGAAGTTTCCCTAAGGGAATAAAATGGTTTTATGAAGAACTATGAAGATTCAGTCAATTTCAGATTTTGTGTATAGGATTTTGTGTGTAGAAAGAAGCATTCCGTTAACTCAGAAACAGGATAAGTTAATGTAGGCTACTCTTGACTTTTTGGTTTTCCCAAAGGTGCTTTTTCCAAAGGAAACTGGACTTTTGTTTTTCCTTTAAGACATTTCGCTTCTCATCCAAGAAGCTGAAGCCTATTCTTCCTTATTTAGAGCTTAATTAAGATAGATTTCCTTTGGCCATGGAGTTTTTAATCTACCAATTAGAATTAATGATCAGCCCATCTTTTAACAAAGATGTTTATTTAAAACATTTACAACGCCGCCCATCTTTCAAACAACTCTGGGAGTCTCTCAGACGGGTTTTCTTTACATTTCTTCAAGTGTTCTTGGAACAGTAGCAACGCTTAACCGCAATGACCGCCCCATGCGCGTTCATTACACGTCCGTCATTGCGCAATAAAAGGGCGGGAAAAAGTCAGCGTGGGCTGAAAATATAAATATACTATTCCCGCTAACAGAAGCTCAAGAAAGGGCGAGACTATTATTGATCAGATCTATTTTTTTTTTAAATCCTCCTTTATCCATTGCGGCATTTTATCAAAAGATAAAAAATTTGGCCCGCTGCCGTTGCCGTCACCGGCCTCAGCATACGCAGCGCATTTTCCCAGTTTTGCCCATACTTTCCTTCGGCCAAGCTGGGCGGTTGAAGTCACGGGTTGCCAGAAACAATGTCACTTCCTGTGCGCCAAGTTGGGTTGTTGGGATAAAAAAAAGAAGAAAAATGTCTCTAGCTATGGCGTCATATCCGGCTCTAATGGCAGCAGGAGTCTGATGTCGATTCCTGCGCAGTGCTGCTGGGAGGCTTCGGGTGCTGTGGTTGCAGCCGCCTAGGTACGGCCCGGGTCGTTTCTCCGGGGATGGGATGGTGCAAATCCGCCTTTTCTAATTTAGGGGTCTCGCGGGGCCCCCTTGGAGAGTCAGAGGAATGGGGCGCTCCCGGGGTTCCCAAATGAATGTCCAGTTCGCCTTCTGAGTTGACTTCAGACGTGGCTGCTTTGGGGCAAACTTCATTAGATGCACGAGAAAAATCCTGGGGATTCCCCCTTTGGCTTCCATATCGGCCGAAGGAAAGTGTGGGCAAAATTGTTTTATTGGGGTGGGGGGTGGGGGTCGAAAGACGTCCCTTACACCCAATTCTCCAGGATGCCCAATTGAGAAAGGAGTGGGTGGGTTTCGGTTGAAATTAATGGAGATTGTTGTGGAGTTCAGGAAGTGAAGTCTGTAGAGCTTCTCAGTCACACAGACCATGGTTGTCCCAAAGGTATTTTTTCAGGAGGAGGCTGGACTTAGTTTTTATCTTTTGAAGACGTTTCACTTCTCATCCAAGAGTTTTTTTCAGTTCTGACTGGATGGTGGGGAATGGAAGAATTTATATTCCTTGCAGACAGCTGGTAATCTGCATTCTTTTGGAGCAGTGGTTCCAAACCTTTTTTTGGCCATGTCCTTCCTAAGCATCTTTAAAATCCTGGTCTCCCCACCCCACCCATATAATTCTTACTTTACTCAAAAAGTGAACTCTACTCACATGGAGGAGGAAGCCTTAAAGACCATTAACTTGGTTTAAACAAGATTCATATTACCCCCATTAAAAATCAAATTGCCCCTATGTGGGGCCTGGGCCCCAGGTTGGGAACCACTGTTTTAGAGGGTTATTGAAGCACTTGGAGGTTTATCTGTCCTCAAGGGTCACCTGAGTAGTGCTGCTGGTAATGCTTCAGGAAGAAAAGGAGACTCACTTTAAGAGATGGCAACAAAAGCCCTGGTTTTTGGAAATAATGGTTTTTCATCTTTCTGTCTACCAAAGAAAGTAGAGAATGGTTGTCTGCAAACCGGGTTTAGCCTGGTACAGAAACTTTTATTGACGAACAGATAGTCCTCGTCTTACAGCACTTCACTCAATGACTGTTCAAAGTTAACAGTGCTGATAAAAGTGATATGCCTGTTTTCCACAGTTATGACCTTTGCAGCAACTGGTTCCTACTTATAACCGTTGCAGTATCCTGGGTTATTTGATCACTTTTTGCAATCTTCTGACAAGCAAAGTCCATGGGGAAGCCAGATTCACTTAACAAGTGGGTGACTAACTTATTAACTGGAGTGATTCACTTAACAACTGTGGGAAGAAAAGTCATAAAATGGAGCAAAGCTCATTTAACAAATTCTTACTTAACAATGATACATTTTGGCTTCAATTGTGGTCATAGGTTGAGGACTACCTGTACTTCAATAAAAGGGGTTGAGATCCCGAACTATGAATACAAATTTTATACAAATACAAATCTTATGATTAAGAAAGTTAGCATTCTAAAAATCATTCATTGGTTGCTTGACACATACTTCTTTTGATTGGATTCTTGTACTTTACCCTCCTTCTTCATACATTACAAGGAAGCGTCCTTTTAACTTCAAACTTTCTTATAACTTTCTTGTTGCTAGGCAGTAGTTGTCCCATCATTTGTTACTGGTCTTGTTACACTCATTGCAGCTGCAATTTTCTGCCTCTGCAATTCCTTTAACAAACTTTCCCAATTCCAAACTGAGATCTTCAGAATACAGGATTATTTGTATTATAACATTTGGGAGTGTCTGACAGCTATTTGGAATAAAAGCGATATGAGGGGGTATGCAGAATTGTTTTAAATTGCGCTTTTGGGGGCAGTGTTTTGGTTCTGAGAGTTTATCATATTCTTCAGTTATATTAACCTATCACTTCATTGATGCCAAAGGGTAGGCAATATGTACTGTGTGCATCTACCCTGGAATGGGTAGCAAATGCAGAGCTGACAGCTGCTTGTTTACAAACTTTCCCCAGGGGTAGTGTATAGTAATGATAAGGTCCTTATCAATAGAGGAACCAGCATTCTGGTAAAGCTGGATACGAAACTTATCAGAATTGCCAAGTTAATGTTTTGGAAGGTGGTCAGTTGTGTGTGAGTTTCTTAATTCTCTCTGCTGTTGATCTAAGTTGTATTTTACAGAGTCATCATGTCAAAACGGAAAGTCACATTTGAAGACCAAGGCGATGATGATGAAGAGGAGATGATTCCCCCAAAGAAGAAGGTGAAATAAACCTTTATAGCACCTTTGCCTAATCTGAGCTCTTCTGCCTGTTGTTGGTTAGAATTCCTATCAATGCTGGTCAATCTAGTGGTAGGAGCTCCTAGAAATTGTAAGACAAACCACTTGATAGAACCCAGGTTGAGGAAAGCTATTATTTAACCTGAGATCCAGAAAATAAAGCTTAAGGGGAACTGTTCATAACAGTGGTTTAGCAACTTTAAGGTATAGATGGACTTCAACTCTCAGAATTCTCATGCTATCTGGGGTATTCTGAAATGTGTGAAGTCCACACTTCCTAAATGTCTGTGGAAATTTTCAGTCAACCAGGTCATAGTTGGCTTTTTCATGAGGCAACTGGACTTTCTTGGAGGTTTTTTGAAGATGTTTCAGCTGAGCTGAAGAAGCTTCTTGGATCGGAAGCAAAATGTCTTAAAAGAAAAACAAGGAAGTCCAGTTGCCTCTTGAAAAAGCAGCTTTGGGATACACATCCTAAAATTATCATATTTGAAAAATACTGGACAGTAAAGTTGAAGTCAATAACTACAGACTTAAATTCAGGTACTCCTCGACTTACAACCACTTGTTTAATGACCTGTGAAGTTACAACAGCACTGAAAAAAAATGACATATTATTTTTCTCACTTATGATCATTGCAGCATCCCCATGGGCATATGATCAAAATTTGTATATCTGGCAACTGGTATATATATATATGATGGTTGCCACATCCTGGGGTCATGTGATCATCTTTTGCGACCTTCTCTCAAGCAAAGTCAATGGAGAAGTCACATTCACTTAACAGCTATGCTATTAAGTAACAACTGCAGTGATTCACTTACAACTTTGTCAACAGAAGTCATAAAAGGGGACAAAACTCACTTAACTGGCTCACTTAGCAACAGAACTATTGGGCTCAATTGTGGTCATAAGTCGAGGACTGCCTATAAGGGCCTCAAGTTATTCAGAAAAAAATAGAGAAAGTTACAGGGAGTAACTTGCTAATTTGAAGAATTAGCTAATTTTCTAACTTGACACGGGGGAAAACACTGTAGATTCTTCAAATGCTGAACAATTCACTTCATGTCTTGAACAGCTGGTGGAACCTGCTATTGGAGGGCCAGGCAGCCGCTTTAAGGGGAAGCATTCATTGGACAGCGATGAGGAAGATGAGGAGGAGGATGAAGGACAGGGTAGTAAATATGATATCCTTGCATCAGATGATGTGGAAGGTAAGTAGGGAGCTGTAGTGATTATAGATTTCAGTAATTGGAACTTCTACATTGTTTCTCCTCTCAGTTAAAAAAAAGTCAGTCCCCAAGATTGTGGATTGTTTTAGTGACAACAGTTAAGACACTCTGAATTATGTGATGACCTATTATATAATCTTAAATCTCAATAGGAAAAATGTTTTCAGACTTTATAATTCAAGTAAAATGATAATTTGGGGGCAGGTTTCATATTTGTACTTTTTGCTCCAATAATTTACTGTTTGTTAACAGTGTTAAAAAATAAGTTTAATTAATATTTTTATTGATGTCAGGTCAATCAGAAATTACCCTATTTTTTGTAGTATAAGACGCACTGGAGTATAAGACGCACCAAGGTTTTGAAGAGGCAATTTTTTTTAAAAAGTAGGTAGGTAGATAGAGGGAGGGAGAGAGAAATACAGTAGGTAGGTAGGGAGAGAGGGAGTAGGTAGGTAGGTAGATAGAGGGGGGGAGAGAGAGAGAGTAGATAGGTAGAGGAGAGAGAGAAATACAGTAAGTAGGGAGAGAGAGTAGGTAGGTAGGTAGAGGGATAAATACAGTAGGTAGGGAGGAGAGAGAGTAGGTAGATAGAGGGATAGAGAGAAATACAGTAGGGAGGGAGGGAGGAGAGGGTAGGTAGGTAGATAGATGGAGAGAGAGAAATACAGTAGGTAGGGAGTGAGAGAGAGTAGGTAGGTAGAAACAGGGAGAGAGAGAGAAATATAGTAGGTAGTGAGCGAGAGTAGGTAGGTAGGTAGAAGGAGAGAGAGAGAAATACAGTAGGTAGGTAGGGATAGAGAGCGAGTAGGTAGATAGAGGAATAAAGAGAGAAATACAGTAGGGAGGGAGGGAGGAGAGAGAGTAGGTAGGTAGGTAGAGGGGGAAGGAGAGAAATACAGTAGGTAGGTGGGGAGAGAGTGAGTAAGTTGATAGATAGAGGGATAGAGAGAGAAACACAGTAGGTAAGTAGGGAGGAAAGAGAGTAGGTAGAAAGAGGGAGAGAGAGAGAAATATAGCAGATAGGGAGAGAGGGTAGGTAGGTAGGTAGGTAGGTAGGTAGGTAGGTAGAAGGAGAGGAGAGAAATACAGTAGGTAGGTAGGGAGAGAGAGCCAGTAGGTAGGTGAGGGATAGAGAGAGAAATACAGTAGGTAGGTAGGGAGGAGAGAGAGTAGGTAGGTAGGTAGAGGGGGAGGGAGAGAAATACAGTAGGTAGGTGGGGAGAGAGTGAGTAAGTAGGTAGATAGAGGGATAGAGAAATATAGTAGGTAGGTAGAGAGAGTAGGTAGGCAGATAGAAGGAGAGAGAGATAAATACAGTAGTTAAGTAGGGATACAGAGGGGGTAGGTTGGTAGATAGAGGGGGTGAGAGAAATACAGTAGGTAGGTGGGGAGAGAAAGAGTAGGTAGGTAGGTAGGTAGATAGAGAGCTAGAGACAGAAATACAGTAGGTAGGTAGGTAGGAGAGAGTAGGTACGCAGGTAGAGGGTTAGAAAGAGAAAGCGAGAAATACAGTAGGTAGGGAGGAGAGTGAGTAGGTAGGTAGGTAGGTAGGTAGGTAGAGGGGGTGAGAGAATAGGTAGGTAGGTAGGTAGGTAGAGGATAGAGAGAAAGAAATACAGTAGGTAGGGAGAAGGGAGAGGGAGGTAGAGGGGGGAGAGAGAAATAGGTAGGTAGGGAGAGAGGATAGGTAGGTGGGGAGAGAGAGAGAAATACAATAGGTAGGTAGGGAGAGAGAGAGTAGGTAGGTAGGTAAAGGGATAGAGAGGGAAAGAAATACAGTAGGGAGGGAGAGAGAGAGTAGAGAGGTAGGTAGAGGGATAGAGAGAGAAATACAGTAGGGAGGGAGGGAGAGAGGGGGTAGGTAGGTAGATAGAGGGAGAGAAAAATACAGTAGGGAGGTAGGTAGGTAGAGGGAGGGAGAGAGGGAAATACAGAAGGTAGGTAGGGAGAGAGAGTATAGGTAGGTAGGTAGATACAGGAATAGAGAGAAATACAGTACATCGATAGGGAGGGAGAGAGAGTAGGTAGGTGAGGAATAGAGAGAGAAATACAGTAGGTAGGTAGGGAGAGAGAGTAGGTAGGTAGATAGGTAGGTAGGTAGGTAGGTAGGTAGGTAGGTAGGTAGGTAGGTAGAGTGGGGTGAGAGAAATATGGTAGGTAGGGGGAGAGTAGGTAGGTAGATAGAGGATAGAGAGAGAAAGAAATACAGTAGGTAGGGAGGGAGGAGAGAGACTAGGTAGGTAGGTAGAGGGATAGAGAAATACAGTAGGTAGGTAGGGAGAGAGAGTAGGGTGGTAGGGAGAGGGATAGAGAAAGAAATACAGTAGGTAGGTAGGGAGAGAGAGTAGGGATAGAGCGGGTAAGTAGATAGATAGTGGGATAGAGAGAAATACAGTAGGTAGGTAGGGAGAGAGAGTAGGTAGGTAGTAGGTAGAGGGGGGTGAGAGAAATATGGTAGGTGGGGGGGAGAGAGTAAGTAGGTAGGTAGATAGAGGATAGAGAGAGAAAGAAATACAGTTAGGAGGGAGGAGGGAGGTAGAGGGGGAGAGAGAAAAATACAGTAGGTAGGTAGGGAGAGGGTAGGTAGGTGGAGAGAGGGGCAGAGAAATACAGTAGCTAGGTAGAGAAAGAGTAGGTAGGTTAGAAAGAGAAAGAGAAAAATACAGTAGTTAGGGAGGAGAGTGAGTACGTAGGTAGGTAGGTAGATAGAGGGGGTGAGAGAAATATAGTAGGTAGGGAGGAGGGAGGTAGAGTAGGTGAGAGAAATACAGTAGGTAGGTAGGGAGAGAGAGTAGGTAGTTGGTAGGTAGGTAGGGAGAGGGATAGAGAGTGAGAGAAATACAGTAGGTAGGTAGAGAAAGAGTTAGTAGGTAGGTAGGTAGGTATGTAGGCAGGTAGGTAGGCAGAGGGATAGAGAGTGAGAGAAATATAGTGGTAGGTAGGGAGAGAGAGAGAGTAGGTAGGTAGGGAGAGGGATAGAGAGAAATACAGTATGTAGGTAGGGAGAGAGGGGGTTAGGTAGGTAGGTAGCTAGATATAGGGAGAGGGAGAGAGAGAAATACAGTAAGGTAGGTAGGGAGAAAGAGAGAGTAGGTAGGTAGATAGATAGAGGAATAAGGTAGGGTGTGAGGGGAGAGAGTAGTTTGGTAGGTAGCTAGAGAGAGAGAGAGAGAAATACAGTAGGTAGGTTGGGAGAGAGAGTAGGTAGGTGGGTAGATAGAAAGTGAGAGAAATACAGTGGGTAGGTAGGTAGAGAAAGGGTAGGTAGGTAGGTAGGTAGGTAGGTAGAGGAGTGGAGAGAGCGGGAGAAATACAATAGGGAGGGAAGAAGGGAGAGTAGGTAGCTAGATAGAGGGATAGAGAGGGAGGAATACACTAGGTAGGTAGGGAGATACAATAGTTAGGTAGGTAGATAGAGGGACAGAGAGAGAGAGAGAGAGAAATACAGTAGGTAGGTAGGGAGAGAGGGTAGGTAGGTAGATAGAGGGATAAAGAGAGAGGGAGAAATACAGTAAGTAGGTAGGGGGAGAGAGAGTAGGTAGGTAGGTAGCTAGATAAAAGGAGAGAGAGAAATACAGTAGGTAGGTAGGGAGAAAGAGAGAGTAGGTAGGTAGATAGAGAGATAGAGGAATACAGTAAGTAGGTTGTGAGGGGAGAGAGTAGTTTGATAGGTAGTTAGAGGAAGAGAGAGAGAGAAATACAGTAGGTAGGTAGGGAGAGAGAGTAGGTAGGTAGGTAGATAGGTAGAGGGATAGAGAGTAAGGGAAATACAGTGGGTAGGTAGGTAGAGAAAGAGTAGGTAGGTAGGTAGGTTGGTAGGTTGGTAGGTAGGTAGAGGATTAAAGAGGGAGCGAGAAATACAATAGGGAGGAAGGGAGAGTAGGTAGCTAGATAGAGGGATAGAGAGGGAGTAATACAGTATGTACGTAGGGAGATGGAATAGTTAGGTAGGTAGATAGAGGGACAGAGAGAGGGAGAGAAATAGAGTAGGTAGGTAGGGAGAGAGTGTAGGTAGGTAAATAGGTAGATAGAGGGATAAAGAGAGAGGGAGAAATACAGTAGGTAGGGGCAGAGAGAGAGAGAGAGCGAGAGAGAGGGAGTGAGAGAGAAAGTAGATAGGGAGGGTTTCCAGGTGTATTTATCCATGTGCTGGAGAAGGAAATTGCTGACAAACTGCAGTACCTAAGATTTGTTTCTGCTGGCACAGCACTTGATCAATATAATTCTCATCTAACTCACGCTAACTAAAGAGCTTTCGGAAAGAGGGGGAGGAAATTGTTGCAATCTGCAAACTTCCCAAAAAACAGCCCATTTTTCACAAAAAGGGGCCCATGTTTTTCTCAAATAAAAGGCATGAATAACCTCGGTTGGGGGCTTTCAGTGCCCCTGGTGGGTACCTCCCCCCCCCAAAATGTACAGATAGTGGCCTGTTTTTCGCAAAAACAGGAGCACGTTTTGTCAAAAAAATTGCATGCATAGCCTTATGGATTGCTGCTGGGGGCTCGGGGGGACAAAAAACAGTCCATTGTTTGCTCATTTCTCCCCAGTCCCCCAGGAGCTCTCTGAAAGGCTCCATTAGGGTATGCACAGCCATTTTTTGAAGGGGTGGGGCTTCGGGAGGCAAAAGATGCTGTATTCAATGTATAAGACACACCCAGATTTTCAGCCTCTTTTTTGAGGAAAAAGGTGCGTCTTATACTCTGAAATATATGGTAATCTCCTTACTTTTATCTTTTTAGGGCAGGAATCTGCCACTATTGACTATGAAGATGGTATCCGGATCACCCCTTTCAATTTGCAAGAGGAGATGGAGGAAGGTCATTTTGATTCAGAAGGCAACTATTTCTTGAAAAAAGAGGCAATGATTCGGGACAATTGGTTGGACAACATAGATTGGGTAAGTCTTTTCAGGTAGACTTGAAGGGAAGACAACGTATTCTCTCTCTCCCTCCCTCCTTCCCCCCTCCCTCCCTCCCTACATATACATACATGCATTCATACATACATACACACACATGCAGAGAGAGGGGTGGTGGTGGTATTCGATCAGTTCAGACCAGTTCGCTTGAACCGGTAGCGGAAATCGTGAGTGGTCCCGCCCACCGGCCCTGGATCTATGGCATCCCATTTAGGCCCTTTTTTAGCCAAAAGCACATGCATGGAAGGCTAAGCGCATGCGTTCACATTTGCAAACCAGTAGGGATACCACCGGTGTGTGTTTATATAGCTTGATTTTCCTCCTGCTGCTAAAGTCTCACTGCTGCTATGGAAAAAGTGTGCATATACATTATTTGAAGTAAATGTAGGGGAGTTTCAGGAGTGTAAAAGGAAATAACATGAACAAGCCATATAATTTTCTGCCATCCACCCCATAATGATTATCAGTTTAAGCCAATGTTTCTCAACCTTGGCAACTTTAAGATGTGTGGACTTCAATTCCCAGAATTCCCCTACATAGTACCCCTCCACCAATAAAATTGAGACCAATATTGGTGGAAAGTGGGGCTTGCAAAAATTGGAAATGATTGCAAGGATAGATCAGCCATTTACGTTCTTGTTTTGAACCTAAAATCCATTTTAATCCATAATACATCACTTTTATTTTACCGAATTTATCCTTTTCTGTTTACCAGGTCAAGATAAAGGAACAGCCTCCCGGTCAGAAGAAACTACTTGTTTCTGCAGATAACGACGAAGAAGATGAAGACGATGAAGATCTTGAGGTGGGCCGAACACCTCTGGAGAAGAAGGAACTCCTGGAAAGGATGGTAGACCTAATGTTACCTGGTGAGACAGTAGCTAGAGCCATTCAAAGGTTTGGAGACAAGGGTGGCCAGAGAAGTAGTGGACGTCAGCGGAAGCCTTGGACCCGCCTCAAAGTAGATGAAGCTGATCCAGCTGAGGAAGATGATCCCCAGAAGCCAGGGTCACCTGAGCGGAAAGAGCAGCTGGAACAGCTGTCAGGGCTGGCTGACCAAATGGTGGCGCGAGGCGTCTATGAGATCTATCAGGAAACCCGGGAGAAGCTGGCCGTGAGACTCCGGGCATTGCAGCACCCTCCTGCGGCACCTTCCTCTGGTGAACCAGAACTCGACATGTTCGCTGAGGAAATCGACGAAGCCAAACTAGGAGAGAAGACATCAGCAGGTGAGTGTGCTTGGGGAACTGAGGGCTACAGTGTTCCAGGATTGGAAACATACAGTCAAGAACGGTTTGCTGAATTTTATCCTAGCGGGCGAAGGATCACTTGTTGGGGTGTTTTTCACTATGTCAGGGTTCAGGAGGAAATCCCTCTCAAACTTGCAAAGCTGTGTGTCAAGAGCTTATTTGGGGAAGCCTTGAAATAAACAACCCCTCATCCAGAGGTGGCTTCCTACCGGTTTGCACCAGTTCGGTTGGATAGGTAGTAATTTGGCCTGCTACACCCCCAAACTGGTTCTTTTGGTGGCACCATAGGCGGCGCCATCTTGTTTTTAGTTTCTGCACGTGCGTAGAAGCATTTTTTAACGTACTGCAAATGCTCGCATAGCGCGCATCGAGTGCGCGCACAGCATGTCCCTGAGTGAACCGGCAATAGCAGCATCTGGAACCCACCCCTGTCCTCATCTTAACATGCTCAACAATCCTTAACTCAATATTTGTCAACCTTGGGGACTTTAAGAAGTGTGGAGTTCAAGTCCCAGAAGCTCCAAGCCAGCCATGCTTGCTGGAGCTTTCTGGGAGTTGAAATCCACACGTCTTAAAAGTTCCCAAGGTTGAGAATAGCTGCCTTAACTACATGATGTTCTATTGGGAAGTGGGGGAGTGGGGGTGAGGCGTCTTTTATTAGGGAGTTTAAGAAAAATTCTTCTGACATATATGCTTATTCTCCAACAACAGGAAGTCAGGCACGTGGGGAGACTGACGACACACTCTCTGAGGTGATGTGGGAATATAAGTGGGAAAACACAAACACGTCTGAACTTTACGGACCTTTCAGCAGCTCTCAGATGCAGGTAAGAGGCCAAAAGAGGGCAGATGAACTTCTTGTTTGCTTCCTCATTTTGTGTCCATTTCTCTCTTATCTATTCATTATCCTAATAATGTTCTTTTCCCCTCGTTGGTACAGATATCCTTTTCCCTTCTCCAATATTTCATTTATCTTTCTTTTTTCCTGAGTGACTTTTAAAAAAATGCAATTCTATTCATTTTGATGGCCGTCTATTTAGTGTTGCTGGTTGTTTGATTTTGCAATCTACATATACAAAAATGGCGCTGTGTGTGTGTGTGTGTATGTTCCAACATAACTTTGGAACTCCTCGAGCAATTTCAACCAAACTTGGTACACAGATGACGTAGTCTCTGGAGACAAATTCTGTGGGGGTAAGGCACCATTAACACCCCTCGGGGGGGTGTGTGTGTGTTCTGTTAAGATACAGCATGTTGTGCCTTAAAATGTCTTCTATTGTACTGCTATAAAATGGCTTCTACTGTCCAGCGCAGTGGAGTTGCCATGGCAACGGCTTCACAGTACTCCACAAGGAGGCTCCCCTCTTGGAGGAAAATCCAACATTAAAAATTATTTTTGGTCTGGACATTTCCCCCCTATAAATAAATACCCGGGCAATGCCAGGTTATCGGCTAGTTGTATATACATCCTGGCTTACGTTGAATACTGGTAGTCCTTGGCTTTCAACAGTTCACATAGTGACTGTTCAAAGTTACAACAGAACTGAAAAAAAGTGACTAATGACCCCATGATCAGGTGTTTTCAAAATCCAGTCACTTGGCAACTGACTCACATGTATGACAGTTGCATTGTCCCGGGGTCATGTGATCCCCTTTTGCGACCTTCTGACAAGCAAAGTCAATGGAGAAGCCAGATTCACTTAACAACCATGTTAGTCATTCAGCCACTGCCGTGATTCACTTAACAAACGTGGCGAGAAAAGTCGTAAAATGGGCTAGAACTCATTTAACAAATTTCTCACTTAACAGAAATGTTGGGCTCAATTGTGGCAGTAAGTTGAGGACTATCTGTACTGATGGAAGGAGGTTTCTGTTGGTGCACCTTGTTTTGGCCAATAGTGAGAAGGAAAGCTTGTTCCTAGGCAGATTGCATCAGAGGGACTTTTAATCACATGACACATTATATTGCTATATTGGTTATAATTTATTTCCTTGGACAGAATTTTTTTCCTGGACAGTTCATTTGCTGTGAGGATGGTGCTTGAGAATTAGTTTTGATTGATGTAGCATCACTGCCCCCAAATCCATGCTAACATACCCAATGTGCATCTTTTAGAATCTGTTCTTTTCCTGACACCCTGTGAATGATGATTCTTTTATTAGACTTTAGATTAACTAACCTAAACCAAGGGCAGCGTATTGCGCAGTCTTGAATATAGAATCAGAAATGATGTGTGGAAACAAAAGTATTTACATGTTCTTTTCTTTAACCAAAGTAGTCAATTTTGCCATTTCAGCCAACTGCGTCAACGTCTGCAACCATTCGTCCCTAGTAGGAATCTGACCACTTCCGAACTTCGTTCTTGATGTGGAAAACAATGAAATTTTGATTTGAGGTTTTACCGAGTAGATTGATAGATTTTTACAGAAATGGCTTGTTCATAATTATTATGAAAAAGCAAAAAGTTGTGGTTTGATGTTAATGCCTTATTTTACTGAAATAGAGTCGGAAGTCAATGCTTCTTTTTCTATTTTCCTTATCTTTCTTCACTTCTCTTCCCCCTTCCCCTCCGCCAATTGCTTTTCTATTTATTTTTGTAATTTGTATTTTACAGCATTTTATAACTCAATAAAACTGTTAAAACTAGAATCAGAAATGATGTGCATCATTCAGTTTCCTTGCAATACCAGATTCGATGATAAATGATCTTCTACTCCCTTATTAGCAAAACATGTGCAATTAATACAGTTTGATTTCTTCTAATATAGTCCTATCAGATACCATATTGGCTGAGTGCATTTTGGAATGGCCCTTTTATTAATGCTGCCAGTTAAGCGTTCGACTTTGGTTGCCTCTTCTGTGAGATTCTGTGCCAGATGGTTCTGTTTTCTTTCATGAATGAAGATGAATAGATGAGTCCCAGGATAATATTTGGATCAGCCCCCGGGACCAGAGGCTTAATCTTCTGAGCTTTCCCAACTCGTGCTGGAGCCCCATCCTCAGGGAACTTCTCTCTGTTTTCTTTCCTTTCCTTCTTTTCCCTGCCATCCTTCTCTCTTCTCTTTCAAATTCTTTTTTCTGTCTCTTCAGGACTGGGTATCCCAAGGCTATTTCCCTGATGGGGTTTACTGCCGGAAGGCGGATAATTCCGAGGGCCAGTTCTACAATTCCAGGCGGATTGATTTTGATCTCTACACATGATCGGAACCCACCTCCGATCCTGCCGAGCACGAAGGACAAGAGTTCAACCCATCGACAGACTGAAACAACTTGCCAGACTTTGGGGTGGGGTGGGGTGAGGGCACAGGGGTGATATGTGTGTGTGTGTGCGTGGGTGGGTGCATTTGCCGAGGGGAAGAGGGGGTTCTCACTTAAATCCAAGGATGTTTGGTATTTTGTGAAAAATAAAATAACCTTAAATTGGTTTGGATAGTCAGCTCTTTCTATTTTCCTGCTTACTACGTCCCATTGCTGTATGTTTTGTGTGGGGTAACGGTTGCCAGAGACAAATAATTTTGTACAGGTAGTCCTCGATTTATGACCACAATTGAGCCAAACATTTCTGTTGCTAAGCAAAACAATTATTAAGTGAGTTTTGCCCCATTCTATGACCTTTCTTGTCAAAGTTGTCACTTCCTGGGGGAATCTGGCTTCCTCTTGACTTTGTTTGTCAGAAGGTCACAAAAAGTGATACATGACCCCAGGACAGTGTAACCATCATAAATGCATGCCAGTTGCCAATTTTGATTATGTGACCATGGAGATATTTCAGTGGTTGTTAAGTGTGAAAAACAGTCATGAGTCACTCTTTTCAGTAACTTTGGACAGTCACTAAACAAATGGTTGTAAGTTGAGGAATATCTGTATATGTGTAGGACTACTTGAGCATGGCTCATTAACCAGAGCAAGTGGCTTATTTGGGATCACATGCATTATATCAACTGCAGCAGTCAATGTGATTGGTTGCTGGAAAATAAGATTTTTCATCACTAAATGAATGGTATGTAAGCCGAGGACTACCTGTGTACAAGACAGTTTCTTTCAGCCCAGAGTTTTTAAGTTTATCAAGTGATGCTTTAAGCTTCTTCTACACACCAGCCCAGAGCCTGTCAAACAAGGGGGAAAAATTTAATACACAGATTTAAAAACACAAAAAAGCATAGATGACTAACCTAATTCCTAAAATAAAGTCAACGTATTTTCCACTCAGTCTTGCTTAGTCCAAAGCCAAATAGTTAGCTATCTTGCCACATAGGTGGCAGCTGTGTCCTTAGATTTATAGAAAGGAAATTATCTTTTCAAAAGATCCCTTAAAAATAAAATTTCAGATTTGGGAACATTGATCTAAATAGTTCTCTGGGTGGAACTCGGCAAGTTTATGGCAACTGAGATAGAAAATGCTGTTGTAGCAAGATAGTTACGATCAAATAAATAGATGCCACATTATTACTCCCTTAAGACAGAGGTGGATGACTAAGGCTTTTTATAATCTATGGACTTCAACTCCCAAAATTCCTGAGACAGCAGGAATTCTAAGAGTTGAAGTCCACAGATTTTTAAAGGGACCATAGTGATTTGCCCCTGCCTTAAGGGATGCTTTGCAAGTTCAAAAGAGCTTCAATATGACTTCTTGTATCATATCAAAAGATCTGCTGAAGAGGCAGAATGTCTCTTTCAAATTAAAGAATAGATTAATGATTAAAACAAGTGGCAGGCAGTCTAATGGACATGTTTGATAACCATCTTGAAATCCTGATTTCCTGAAATTCAACCAACTTGGCACAGGAAGGAAACTATGGTAAATTATTTGAGCAATCGATCCTTTGCTGTGTCCAATGAAGCAAGCCAGAGATAGATATGTGAAGCTTTATGTTATTTTTATTTTAGAAAAAGAACGGATCGGGAAGGGGATAGGAACCTCAATTTTAGAGATGGTTCTGGTGGCGCTTACCCTTCCTCCCCACCATCTTGTAGGGATGAACCCTATCTCATGGTATCTTCATAGAGTTTCTGTGGAGGTTGTGATTGGTTATTAATTTATAGCTTCATTCTTGGAAGATGAATTTTTTGTTTCCTGTGAATTTTATTGTCCCTGCCAGGAAGCAGATGTCATATGTGCGATTCCTTCAGCTGATTATTTTGCAACAGAATAAATGTGGCCCTTTTGTGGACAGAATTGAAATTGACCCGATTTAGTGACCCAGACTGAAATTCTAGCTCACGGGTGTCAAACTCCCGGCATCATGTTACCGTCACGTGACATTTCGGGATGTTTCCCCTCCCCTTTGTGGAGCTGGGGTGGGCGTGGCCTGTGTGTGGTGCATCTACCTGCGGACCGCCAGTTTGACATCCCTGTAAATCTATCTAGCCTTATTTTTTTAACAGCAACTTTGAGCAACCCCATCTCTAGAAAGCTTGCCTGCCAATATCCATCTTTAGGATACAGGTAGCCTTTGACTTCGTCTAGTGACCGTTTGAAGTTACAACAGCACTGAAAAAAAGTAACTTGGCCATTTTTCACACTTGCAACCAGTGCGGCATCCGGTCACTTGATTCAAAATTCACTTGCAACTGACATATATTTATGGCAGTTAACAATGTCCTGGGGTCACGTGATCACCTTTTGTGACCTGACAAGCAAAGTCAATGGGGAAGTCAGATTTGCTTAACAACTCCAATGATTCACTTAACAACTGTGGCAAGAAAGATGGTAAAATGAAGCAAAACTCGACTGTCTTGTTCAGCAGTGGAAATCTCAGCTCAGTTGTAGTCGCAGTCCAGTTGGCAACATTGACTAAGAGGCATTGACTGAATTCCCTGTCAATTTTTCTTCACCGAGCAACGTTTTCCTAGGATGAAGCTATGGAAGTGAAACCACAGCATTGCCTGTCAAAAGTTTTGCCCACTGGGTTCGCCTACGGCAATGATGGCAAAACTTTGGGGCTTGATGTGTCAAAAGATTTAGAAAATGCCTTTCTTGACTCTGCTGCTTTATCTCACACACACACAAAGCATGGACAAAGGAGACCTCTCAAGACCTCCTCTCTGGACTCTGAAAGTCGCATGAGAAACTCCTGCTCTCCTGGTGCCTCTGGAAACACCAAAAGCTACACAGGGATGCTCACACAATTTTTGGAGACCTCAGTGGCCACAAGAGCAGGACACTCTTGAGTGACTGCCAAAGGGTCTGGAAACCTGCCACATCACCAAAAATGACCTGCGATACATATGTCATATGTCTGCCATTGCCGGCCTACCACATTAAGCGTACACTGGTCAGGAGGAGAAAGGGACCATATAATCACCCTAGTGCACAATATACCACAGGAAGTGGTTTAGCAATACTTTAGATAGACATTACACAAAGGAGCAAAAGTTGGAGGAACTAAGTGTTGGGTGGAAATATATATTGGTGCATGAAGAAAAGGAAGTCAGATGCAGAGTGGAGCCAGGCAAGAAGCTCCAGATCGTTGAAGCAACACCATGGGTACTATCACCGAAGTGAAGCTTTTCTACCAAGCCGTGATCCTTCTTTGTCTTGCCTATGGTAGGTAGCAGATCTCGGTTGTGTTGAGTGGCTCAGGAACAAGGCAACAGGTGGCCTGAAAAGTATCAGGTTTATCTTGCCTTTCATAAATTTCAGCGTATTTTCCAGCTTGGGGATGGGGAGGAATTCTTATTTCTTTATAGAACTGGATTAATATCTTTCATCTGGAATGAGAGGAATTGGCTGGGGAAGGAATGATAATTCCAAAGCATCCAAAGTAAAGGTTGTGTTGCAAGGGTTGGGTATCCCCACAAAATGGGGAGCCTAAATGCTCTTGAATTAATTCCACCTGTTGGTATTTTGGAAAAAAAAGAAAAGTTAATATTAGCACAGAAGCCTTTCTTAAGTGTTGCACTGGCAGAACAATTTTGAGATGATCGCTAAATATCGCTTCGACTTAGCCCTTCTGTCAAACTCTGTAAAGTAGGTTAAATGCTCACACACTGTCATGCAAACCAGGTGGGAAGAGAATGGTGTTTGTTAAATTCACTCATGTTTGAAGGAGTGCTTCCTACTCATCCAATCTAAGCAGTTTTTATAAAACGCTTATTTATTCAATACCTAATGTAGAAATCAGTACTAAAAGAACTGGGTGCTTACTGGCCCCAGCTACGGGATTAATTTTCACTGATAGCCTGTTTTGTTTTCTGCCTAAGGAATTTTCAAGACAGTTATTAAAATAGAGGATTGCTTTTAAGCTTCGTTAACTTTTTCTATGGGATTATGCAAAAATCACTGCCTGAGGGAGTACAACATAAGAAACATTCCAAGACTTTATAAAATGTCATGTTATCCATTTCAGAACATGAAAGATATAGTCTAATAATGCCATCAATTTATATCGTACCTTTCAACTAGATGTTTTCAGATTTCCTGTATAATTCTCCAGCAGTGGCCTGTGAAATTAACCAAGTTTAATTTAGTCATTATATTGCAGGTAGTTTTGTCATTGATTTCACTGGTATTTTTTTACCTTAATGTGAATTTTCTTCACAAGAAGCAGTAAAAACCAGTTTTGAACCATAGCAGAAGGAAACAGCCTTACAACCTCAGGCCAACTTAAACCAACAGTAGGTTTGATTAAAGTTGCATTTTATATTTGTAATGCAATTCCTCCCCCCAAAAAATAACAAACTGCATTTCAAGTTATATGCTTGAAAAGGGACACACAGTATTTCATCCTAATGAATTCTAATTTAAGGAGGTCTGATTCATGTTGAGCCCTCTAAGTATCTTAAACTAATCCTAGACAACTGCTAGGAACTTGTAACACCAGGCCAAATAGAAGAAAAAGATAGGACCAGCTTTTAAATACAATAATTTCCCAGGAAGGGTATGTAAAACACATAATTTCAAATCGTTTTGAGCATGAAAATTCCCATTTTGAGATCAAAACTGCTGTATTGAACATTCTGGCGATATTTTGAATTTGAAACAATAATTTACAGAGAGAGACATTTTTGAAATACTTGGGAACAGCCCATATTGTATCAGAAACAGCCATTTCAGATTCGATGTTTCAAAATAAGATGCTTCTAGTGCCTTGCATAATTCAAAGTGCTTAGGCTTCCTTTTCTGTGGTAAATTCTATTCTTAACCCAATGTCATTTGCATTCCCTTTTTCTCTCTATCGGATTTTATTCTGCATATTTTACAACTGTTTTTTTTTTAATTTCTGTTGATTGATATTTTATTCTAAGCCATTTTTTATTACTTCTCTGAATTCCAAACTAAGGAGTTCATTATTGTAAATGATTCTTTAACTTTCTTTACTGCTCACAACAGTTCTTTCAAAAAACAATAACAACCACAGGGCTGCCTTAGAAATGAACAGCTATCTACATGCTATCTACATCAAGAGCCAAGGTGGCGCAGTGGTTAAATGCAGCACTGCAGGCTACTGCTAGATCAGCAGGTCAGCGGTTCAAATCTCACTGGCTCAGGGTTGACTCAGCCTTCCATCCTTCCGAGGTGGGTAAAATGAGGACCCAGATTATTGGGGGCAATATGCTGACTCTCTGTAAACCGCTTAGAGAGGCCTGAAAGGCCTATGAAGCGGTATATAAGTCTACTGCTATTGCTATTGCTATTGCTATCTCTGTGATTTTTCTTGAGCAAGATGCCCTTGGTGCCCACTGGTGACACATCTTGTGTAACAAAACCCCAAACTGAAGCAGATGACAGGTGCAGTTAGGACAACCAGCATGTCATCTCATGAAAAAGGCAAATGAACTCGCTGTTCCTCTTTGACTGCCTGGATAATATGGTCAGCAAGAACAGGAAAGAACCAGAGAAACAGTCAATAAGAGTGGAATGCTCTTATGAAGGTCTAGAGCAGAGGCATCATTGAGGGCTGCATCAAGGTTGTGTTTGATCTCAGGGGGACAAATAGGCATAGCCGGGATGGGCGTGGCCAGCTTGATGTCACTCGTACCAGGGGACACCTGTGGTGGCCCAGATAGGGTTGGGGGGATCCTCCTGTACCCCTCCTCTGTATTTTTCTGGCAGAGACACTGTGGGCTGGTCGTTCACTATTTTCAGGGCAGTCCCGCAGACCAGATCTAAGCACCCCATGGCTCGGATCCAGCCCACGGGCCTTAAGTTTGACACCCTTGGTCTAGAAGTTTTGATCAAGGATAGCAATGCAAGAAGTTGTATCAGGCTCCAAAATGTAAAAAAAAAGACATGCTGAGTTACCCCAAAGCAATCCCCTTTATTGTTCCTCACTTATGGACAGAAATCTTACCAAATTAAAGCAAACAATTAATTAGTGTCAAGAAAGATATACTCTGAGAACCTCTGGGGAAGAACTGCCTTCCTCCCAACCAAACTATCTAAACTTTGCTGACTCTCGATCCTCTGAAACAGGGGTGGCTTCTGGCTTCTGTTACTGCCAGTTCGCTTAGGGATGTGCTTTGGAGGGCTCACGCTTCGGGGGCATGCACGTTAGTGGGGAAAAAATGCTTCTGCGCATGCGTAGAAGTAAATAAACCCAAGATGGTGGGTTTATTTACCTATGGTGGTAAATGGTGCCTATGGTGCCACTGATAGAATCAGTTTAGGGGCATGGCCAGCCAAGTTACTACCTGCTTGGCTGAACCAGTCCAAACCGGTAGGAACCCACCTCTGCTCTGAAATGCAGCCATTCCCTCCTGGGAATCCAGACTACATTCCACCCCACTCTGGCAAAGAGCAGCTAAAGGCATCATGTTTTTTACCTGATGAAGAGCTCAAACATCAACCTTGAGAGAACTTAGGCCACACAGGCAAATTTACCCCATGCCACACAGCTATTCACAAGTGAACACCAAAATACACGGGGCCCATCATAGATCACTTAAACACGATTGCTCTGTATTTTAGGGACAGGTTGTATAATCTTGTAGGACCTTAATCTCTGCCCCACCCCCACACATCTAGTATTTTCTATACTTAGCAAAGTTGTTACCCTACAAGGCTTTTAGAAGTTCTCTGGAGATAATGGGATATGAAGTCTTCTGGTTGAATTGGGCTTAAGGTCATGCTTGGAATTGCTGCCACCGATTTCCCTAATTGTATCCATTGATAGCCATGGATGTCCCAGCCCTGATGATGAGGATCAGGCAAGTACATCTACAGGGCCTCTGAAAAGAATATTTGGGCTGAAATGCCTGGGGCTCAGCCTTGTTATGTGATTTGGGAGAGGTTTGGATTGGTGACACCTGAGGAAAAAGTTGCCTGTTCTATTAGTTCTTGCATTGTTAAGACATCCAGGAAAGTGACCTGTGGTTGGATCTGAATGTGGGTTTTAGGGACCCAAGAACTTTCCAACCATACTCTTAGATATGGTAGCACTTCCTCACTCAAAAGTAGCATATCATCTGAAGATAACCTCAGATGATATGCTACAGCCAAGGGCACTTTGTTCAGCTCCATCTGATGGACCAGTCCCACTCTTTTTGGACTAGGAGACTCTTTGGACAGTCACTGATTCCCTAGTCACCTCAAGGCTTGACTACTGCAATGACTGTTCATAGGACATTGCCCTTGGCAACCACTCAGAAGGTTCAATCAGTCCAGACCGCAGCTGTGCGTTTAGTGGTGATGGTCAATATGAACATGTACCACCCTTGCTCTACACATTGCAGTGGTTGTCAGTCTGGGTGTGAATCAAGGTGCTGGTTATTTCCTATAAAGTCCTACATGGAATAATCCAGGGGTGGGCTGCTACGGGCTCGCATGGGTTCAGGCAATCCTCTAGCTAAGGATTTTCCCAGTTCGGCAAACCCACAAATCCCACCTCTGGCTGGCCCCACCCACCCCAGAAGTCTCCATGCAGGCCTTTTGGGATGCCAGGTCGACGCAGGAAGGCGAAAAACGGGCAGCCCTGAAGTTCCAGAAAGCCAGAAGCAGGCCAATTTCTGGCCTCCAAAGCTTGGGGAGGCCATTTTTGCCCTCCTGGTGGCTCAAAGAAAGCCTCCGGAGCCCGGGGAGGGAACAAACTCCCCCCTGCCATGGTGCAGGAGGCTGACTAGGCCACGCTCACGATAGCCATGCCCACCCAGCAACCGGGCAGTCTGGATTCCCAGAAGGAAGGGGCTGCATTCCAGAGGACTGAGAGACAGCAAAGTTTAGGTAGTTTGGTTGGGAGGAAGGCAATTCTTCCCCAGAGGTTCTCAGAGTATATCTTTATGGGCAGAAATCTTACTTGACGCTAATCGTTTGCTTTAGTTTGGTAAGATTTCTGTCCATAAGCGATGAACAATAAAGGGAATTGCTGGAAACTCAGCATGTCTTTTTTGCGTTTTGGAGCTTGACACAACTTCTTGCATTGTTCTCCTTCATCAAAGCCTCTAGACCGGGGGTGTCAAACTTAAGGCCCGAGGGCTGGATCCGACCCATGGGGTGCTTAGATCTGGTCCGTGGAAATAGTGAAGGACTAGCCCGTGGTGCCTCTGCCAGCAAAAACAGAGGAGAGGGCTGCAGGAGGATCCCCCCAACCCCGCTGGGGCCACCACAGGTGTCCCCTGGCACGAGTGACATCAAGCTGGCCATGCCCACCCCGGCTATGCCTATTTGTCCCCCTGAGGTCAAACACAATCCTGGTGTGGCTCTCAATGAAACTGAGTTTGACACCTCTGCTTGCCACTCTTATTAAGTGTTTCTCTGGTTCTTTCCTGTTCTTGCTGACCATATTATCCAGGCAAAGCGGATAACAAGTTCATTTGCCTTTTTCATGAGATGACATGCTGGTTGTCCTAACTGTACCTGTCATCTGCTTCAGTTTGGGTTTTTTTTACACAAGATGTTTCACCAGTGGGCACTGAGGGTATCTTGCTCAAGAAAAATCACAGAGATGTAGATAACATGGAGACAGGGAGTTCATTTCTAAGGCAGCCCTGTGGTTGTGTTATTGTTTTTTTTGTAGAAAGAACTGTCATAAAGAAAGCGAAAGAATTATTTATAACAATGAACTTCTTCCCTCTAACATATTGTTCTGATGATTTTGTGGTGAAATATGCAGAAGTAGGGGTTTAAAAAAACTGGAATCAAATTATCTGTCCATAGGGTAGCTGTAGAAGAAATACAGATTTATGGAAAAGAAAAATATGTGATTTATCGATTCTGAAGGAATCTGGGGCAGGAAGATGTTTCAAATACAGCCACTGTCCTCTATCTTCATATGTGTATCAAAACAAAGTGCATTTTGTGGTTTAAAAAAAAGGTGAAATGAAATTGAAATGGAAAAAAAGTGAAAGCTTTTTATTTTAATGCAGCCAGAGAGAGCTATGAGTTTCTTTGGAGATATGTTCAAAGTATGTGATTCATTTTATTGGGTGTGGTATCATATGATACCTTCAACTACTCTGGAGAACATGAATACTTACCATCATTGTACCCTAAGTGGCACTTCTCGATGATCTTTCTGTGGGAATTTTTATTTTATTTTTTAAATAAGACTTTAAAATTGGACACTAAGGGAACTATTGGTTAATTGAAAGTCAAGTTTGTGTTCTTCTCACAACAATTAAACGAAAGTTTAAAGATAGTAACTCGGCCTGCCATGCCCCCAACGGGTTTTCTCTGTGGCACCATGGGCGCTGCCATCTTGTTTTTTGCTTCTGCGCATGTGCAGAAGCATTTTTTAAAGTGCCATGCATGCGCGTGGGGGGCATCCCTGAGTGAACTGGCAGTAGCAGCAGCCAGAACCTACCCTTGCCCTCAGCCAGGCCTTCAAACCGCAGACATTGGGAACTGCTGTTATAACTCACATAATGGAAGACTGTGGCCCAATATGTTCCTGATAGCTTGTAGTACATTCACAATTCCTCATTGACTATTAGCCGTAATGTGGCTTATGAGAACTATACTCAGGGGTGGATTTCAGCTGGTTTGGGATCGGTTCAGGTGAACCAGTGACTCCGATAATCAGCTGGGGAGCGAACTGGTTTGCTCCGACAATCAGGTGGGCCTGCCCACCAGCCCCTGTGCTTTATTTACCTTTATCCTCTCAGCTGATTTGCGTGGCAGAGCATATTGCCACACCTCAGCTGTGTTGCTCCCCAAGAAGCAGTGGTGGGTTTCAGGCGGTACACCCCAGTACAGGTGTACCGGTGCCTGCCCGGAGCACCGGGTACCGTTCCGGTACGATTCTCCGAAGGGCCCACCTGCCCACCCGAGCTCCTTACCTGTATTTGAGCTTTTTGGCGCTTCCCTGTATGTGCACAAAGCGCATGGCGCCTGTGCAATGCTTCACCGAGCAGCTGGAGCGTTGTGGAGGTAAGGTTGCATGCGCGTGATGCGTGCATGCATGTGGGGGACGCCGGGCCCCATTGCACCGTACCGGTTGCACCGGGATCTGGAACTGCCAAGAAGTAACACGGAAGGTAAGTTTTGTTAAAACTGCACATGCATGCAGAGTGCTCATCAGGCACAGGTGCACGTGGAGTGCGCACGCGGGGAGCATACGATCACCAAACTGGTTGTTAAACCAGCAGGATGCCATCAATGACCATAGTATAAAAGCCCTAATTCTGCTCCAGAATATGCCAATGTACAATAGTTATCTGAGTCATACAGTCATACACACTCATAGGGCTAGTAGGGAAGTTTTCTATTCCAACCCCCTGGTCAAGAGAGTAAGACTTGATCAGTGTGAAGTCTACTTAGTTGAATATTGTTACGATGGCCAAATTCATATTGGAGACCCACAAGCAGACACAATAAGTAAGCTGCCCCTTAATTTACAAATCACCTATAGCTATGTCGCCTTGATATTTATATTTTCAACTTCTGAGACACTCAAAACGCTAGTGACCTCATCACCATGACCTCAAATCACAAAGTCTCATTGCAATGAAGTTGCCAAAGGAAGGAAATAATTATTATTCAACCTCAGTGAATTACCCTTTCATAATCCATGAGTTTTATAACTCACAGAGTTAAGAGTAAAGTTTATTTCCTTTGTTTGGCAACTCCTTGTTCTGGTTTTTGGGTTTTTACCAGGCTGATTAGCTCTCCGGTGTGGCCACAGATTTGAGTCAGAGGAGCAGCTGATGCTGAGTTCAGTAGAGCAAAAGAGGTTAGCATTCAGTGACCAATAGAGAGTAAGTAATTGTCTGTGGAGATTCTCAGCCATCCAAGTCATGGTTGTCCCAAAGGCTTTTTTTCAAGACGCAACTGAACATTCTGGTATTTCTTTGAAGATGTTTTGCTTTTCATCCAAGAGTTGAAGAAGCTTCTTGGATGAGAAGCGAAACATCTTCAAAGAAAGTCCAGTTGCCTCTTGAAAGAGCCCCTTTGGGACAAAATAGGTAATGTTTCCCCCCCAAGGATATACAGGTAGTCCTCAACTTATGACCACAGTTGAACCTGAAATTTATGTTTCTAAGCGAGACAGTTGTTAAGCGAGTTTTGCTCCATTTTTCTACCTTTCTTGCCAGAGTTGTTAAGTGAATCATGTCAGTGGTTAGGTAAGTTAAGTGAATCTGGTTTCCCCATTGATGTTGCTTGTCAGAAGGTCGCAAAAGGGGATCACGTAACCCCGGGACACTGCAACCCTCATAAATAGATGCCAGTTACCTAGTGTCCAAATTTGGATCAAGTGACCATGGGGATGCTGCAACAGTTATAAGTGTGAACACCTGTCATAAGTCATGCTTTTTCAGTGCCGTTGAAACTTTAAACACTCACTAAACTAGCTGTTGTACGTTGAGGAGGACTACCTGTTACCTGTACTACAGCTTTCTGGTATAGGTAGTCCTTGACTTACAACATTTCACTTAATGACTGTTCGATGTTAAAATGAAAAAAGGGTCTTATGACCATTTTTTTTCACACTTATGACCATTGCAGCATCTTCATGATTACATGATCAGAACTCCGACACATGGCAATTGACCCATATTTATGACGGTTGTAGTGTCCTGGGGTCACGTGATCCCCTTTTGCGACCTTCTGACAAACAAAGTCAATGGGGAAGCCAGATTCACTTAAGAACTGTGTTGTGAATTTAACAACTGCGATGATCACTCTGCTAAACAAATAATTCCCTCATCATTGTCAAACCATCCACTAAGCCTGCATTACTATTACTATTAGTCTCCTCATAGTTCCTATCAGCCATCTCCTCCCACTTATGACTGCAGTGCTGTAACTTTGTTGCTTGTATCATTATGATTTATATTGATATTGATTCTTTCCTGATTGCTTATTTGTACCCTAAGACTATCATTAAGTGTTGTACCTTAGGATTCTTGACAAATGTATCCTGTCTTTTTATGTACACGGAGAGCTTATGCACCAAAGACAAATTCCTTGTGTGTCCCAATCAAACTTGGCCAATAAAGAATTCTGTTCTGTTCTGTTTTGTTCTGTTGTGGCTGTACACTGAATTATTCATCTGTATATAAATAATTCAGTGTCCTACCTCCATTACTGTCATCATTTGAAGAAGAAAAACACAGATGTGCTTCTGTGCTGATTGATTCTGTGCTGCCTTCCTCTGTTGCAGGCCTTCCGTGCTTTTCAGCTTTCAATCTCATCGATTTTCAGACTTCTGTGATTTTCTTTGGGGAGAAAACTGACCAGTTTGGCTATCGTGTCATCCAGACAAAATCCAATGGCAATTCCTGGTGAGCGCAGAGCTGATTACTAGTTAAGAACATGGATCTCGGTTTTTCTTGAAGTGATCTGCGTGTCTCAACTATGCATTCTAAAATAATATTTAAATATTAATTCTAAAATATTATTTAATATCCTTTCAGGTTGGTAGTGAGCGCTCCCCTCGCAGGCAATCGGACAGGTTCTCTTTTCCAATGCTCATACGATACACAGAGGTGTCAACCAATTGTCCTCAAAAGTAAGTGCAAGCTGAAACGCATTTGTGACTCTCCCACATATGGATTTTCTTACATTTTATTTTACAAAAAGAGAGTTTCTTAAAGTACACTGGCATTGAAAGCTTAAACTAGTTTTACATGTTAATTGGTTACACCTCCCAACGGCCAATAAGATTCCACAGGGTGGGCCTCCTTCGGATACCGTCAGCCGGACAGTGTGGGCTGGCGGGCCCCCGGAGGAGAGCCTTCTCTGTGGCTGCTCCGACCCTGTGGAATCAGCTACCCCCAGAGGTCCGGACGCTACCCACTCCCCACTCTTATGGCCTTCAGGAAAGCCGTTAAAACCTGGCTGTTCCGGCAGGCCTCGGGCTGTTGACCTTAGTGTTAAGGTCCAGCCCCGATTAGAACGTATGTGTGTTGTGAATTTTAAACTATTTTTTTTACTTATTTTGCTTTACTTTTTTCTTCTTTCGTTGTAAGCCGCCCGGAGTTCTCCGGGATTGGGCGGCCTATAAATTTAATAAATGAAATATAGATCCCTAAGATGTAATATAGTTTGATTTTCGTTAGCATGTTACATGAACCAACTATTTTAGTTTTGAATATTATGGTAGATTAGCAGGTCTGTGAACCCAATTAATAGTGATTTGTCAAGAAACCATGATTAAGAAAAGTAATGAATTATTATAGTTTAGAATCCAGTCCAACTGTAATCTAAGGGTTTATATTTTATGAGATTACGGGCAATTTATGATCTCAATGGAGCCCAAAGTGTATGTTGTTATGCGAAAAATTTGTTAAGTGAATTTGTCCCATTTTACAACTTTTCTCTCCATATTTGTTAATCACTGCCATTGTTAAATTAGTAACATGGTTGTTAAATGAATCTGGGTTCCCCATTGATTTTGCTTGTCAGAAGGTCACAAAATGATTCACTTCCAAACTGTCATAAATATGAGTCAGTTGTCAAGCATCTGTATGTAAATCATGTGACTATTGGGATGCTGCAATGGTCATCAGTGTGAACAATAGCAACAGCACTTAGTCTTATATACCACTTCACAGTGCTTCACAGCCCTCTCTAAGTGGTTTGCAGAGTCAGCCTCTTGCCCCCAACAATCTGGGTCCTCATTTTACGCACCTTGGAAGGATGGAAGGCTGAGTCAACCTTGAGCTTGGTGAGATTCGAACTGCCAAACTGCAAGCAGCCAGTGATCAGCAGAAATGGCCTTCAGTACTGCATTCTAACCACTGCACCAGCCACGGCTCAGTGTGGTCGTAACTCACTATTTTCAGTGCCATTGTAACTTTAAATGGTCACTAAGTGAACTGTTGTAAGTGGAGGACTAACTGTTTTCTTAGGGCTCCAAGTCTAATTTTCTTAGTCTCCTCTGAAGACAGGGAATTATTGAAATATAATCTTATGGTGAGAATAAATTTCAAAAACTATGAAAGCCTAAATGGTCTCATAGAAAGTAGGAGACAATGATTGTTATGATTCTTCCCTGTTTTTATTTTATATCACTTGCAGAATGCCAACTGTTGGACAGATTAGAAATATAATAGTAAAATCATTTTTAAAAGTACACTGTTAGTCATTAACATTTGATTTGAGCAATTTCTGACAGTAATGCACAGCAGTGCACAGGTGGGGATGGTCCTTGCTTCTCTTCAGTGCATCCCTTCCAAAATCTCTTAGCCAAGCAAAGTTGCAGAATGTGTTTGAACCACAAATAAGACCAACAAAATCCATCATGAGCTATTTTTTTTAAAGCCTACCTTAGTTAGATGTGTGTGTTTTAAAGTGATAAGTCTGTGAAATAGAGGAAAACAGAATAACAGCATAACAGAGTTGGAAGGGACCTTGGAGGTCTTCTAGTCCAACCCTCTATTCTATCTTTTCAGATGCCAAGGTTGTTCCTAGAATATCTTTAGGTCTTTCATTGGCTGCTGATGAAGCGTCTGAATCCAAAATAATGGTAAGCGACACTCAAATAGAATTTTAAAAGACAATCTAAACACAATAAAAAACATTAGCATGAATCCTATAATTTGTGTCTGTTGTAGAGAATGTGAGCCCATTGCTCAGAAAGACTGAGCTGCTCTGGGTGTCTAATGGAGAATTCTTGTTGACTCTGCCAAAGTTTACAAGAGCTGTTTGTGTTGACACACAGGCCTGTGGTCCCACTTGGGAACGAAGATGTGGACAACTCGATTATCTGAACGGCATTTGCTATATTCTGAATGGCTTCGATGCAAATGTGAAGGAGATCCAGCCAGCTTTCCAAGGTCAGATGAATAGAATACAATAGAATAACAGAGTTGGAAGGGACCTTGGAGGTCTTGTAGCCCAACCCCCTGCCTAGACAGAAAACCCTACAGCACTTCAAACAAATATGTTATCCAACATCTTAAAAATCTCCAATGTTGGAACATTCACAACTTCTGGAGGCAAGTTGTTCCACTGATTAATTGTTCTAACTGTCAGGAAATTTCTCCTTAGTTCTAAACTGCTTCTCTCCTTGATTAGTTTCCACCCGTTGCTTCTTGTTCTACCCTTCGGTGCTTTGGAGGATAGCTTGACTCCCTCTTCTTTGTGGCAACCCCTGAGATATTGGAAGACTGCTATCATGTCACCCCTGGTCCTTTTCTTCACTAGACTAGCCATGCCCAGTTCCTGCAACCGTTCTTTATACACTCCCCTAATCATCTTTGTTCCTCTTATCTGCACTCTTATTAGAATCTCAACATCTTTTTTAAATTGTGCATTTGCATTTTGCACATTAGATTCGAAAGCTAGATTGTGCCAAGATCTTTGCTACTCGAGAAAGGATAAAAATGGCACCCATATCTCTTAGAAGTTAGCCAAGGCAAAATGTTCTGCAAGGAATTTTTCTTCTCCTTGACAGTAAAAATGTCAATGATAGCACATTAAATAATTATTGGTGACCTCTTGGGACACCCACAATATATTGCCAGAGGTAGGTATCTCATTCAGCCATAATAAGAAACCAGACTGGGATGTGCAGGTAATCTTTGACTTACGACAAAATTGAGTCCAAAATTTCTGTTGCTAAGTGAGACAGTTGTTAAATGAGTTTTGCCCCATTTGCGACCTTTCTTACCACAGTTGTTAAGTGAATCACTGCAGTTGTTAAGTTAGTAACATGGTTGTTAAGTGACTCCAGCTTCCCCATTGACTTTGCTTGTCAAAAAAATTGCAAAAGGGGACACCGGGATAATGCAACCGTCATAAATGTGAGTCAGTTGCCAAGTATCTGAATTTTGACCATAGGGATGCTGCAACATTCATAACTGTGAAAAAGTACAGATGGTCCTCGAGTTACAACAGTTCACTAAGTGAACATTCAAAGTTACAACAGCACTGAAAAAAGGGACATGACCATTTTTCACAATTCTGGGCAGCATCCCCATGGACATGTGGCTTACATTTGGATGGTTGACAACTTGTTCATATTTATGATGGTTGCAATGTCCCAGCGTCACATGATCCCCTTTTGCAAACATCTCACAAGCAAAGTCAATGGGAAAGCCAGATTCACTTAACAACATTGTTATTAATTTAACAACTGCAGCGATTCACTTAACAAATGGGTCAAGAAACATCGTAAAATGGGGCAAAACTCACTTAACAAATTTCTCATTTAGCAACATAAACTGTATCTCAATTGTGGTCATAAGCCAAGGACTACCTGTAATTATACAGAAGAAGGGGTTAAAAAAAAGAAATTTCCCTTGGATTCTGCTACCAAGCAGACAGATCAATTTTCTTTAAAATGAGTGAAGAATATTTGTTTGTTTGTTTGTTTTGTTGCCTGCCTGCCTGCCTGCCTGCCTGCCTGCCT